CTTGACCAACACTGCACATAACTGACTTTAACTGATTTTCAAATGCTTGAATATTTAGTTTGAGAAACGATTTCCTTTTTCCTAAATGCAATGAAAACCTGTTGTGTTGATGGCTGCTGCTGCTGCTGCTGCTGCTGCTGCCACTCTGCACTCATGTACACAAACTGATCTAGATGTGAAAAGTTCTGATGGTCTTCTGTTAAGCTTTTGTTCATGTTTGAATCTCACTGCAAGAAGGAAATGCAGCACAGGAACTTTCTCTGTGTTCGAACAGGTTTTAGTGACGGGTGAATGAACACAGTGCACAGTGGAAACACAAGAGCTAAATGTGGCAAAATGAAGAGAGGTGAAATAAAGGATCATTTACTAGTGCTGAGGGGATGTAACAGAAAGAAAGAAGGTGTACTTTATTGGTCCCCGTGGGGAAAATCCCTCTCTGCATTTAACCCATTCACTCAGTGAAGCAGTGGGCAGCCACTGGGCGCCCAGGGAGCAGTGTGTAGGGACGGTACCTTGCTCAGGGGTACCTCAGGGTAGTTGTTCAGGGGAATCGAACCCCCGACCTTCCGATCATGGGGCCACCACTCTACCTGCTGAGCTATCCCTGCCCTAACACATAGCTGCTGACATGCCTGTAGTTGTTTGCAGGGGTAGAACGTGTTGAGTCCAGCTCCCTGTTCAGCTTGGAGTAGTCTATAGTAGATGAAGCTCCTGCCTCCAGCTGGGCAAAGAACCTGGCCTTCTCCTCTTCCTCCTCCAGAGTGTCTAAACCCACCGCGCTCATGTACACAGCTGGCACCGTCGCCGAGCCTGCACACACATTTAAACACAGCACTTCTCCACAAGACTCCTTCATGTATAGTGCTTTATGTGGGTGGACAATAACGGTGGAGCTACTCAGTACGGAGTTCATGTTTGGAACTTTCTGTTTGGGTTTTTTTGGAGGGCTGGTCCTAAACTTTAGATCAGCTGTAAAACAGCCTGTTTCAGTTTAAGCTTTGATTTCAAAGATCTACACGCTCAAAAAAATGTTTTGCACCATTGCCGTCCTGGTTACATAATAAAAGATGAAAAATGCTTTTTGATCTGGATCTGGGAGAACTGGAGTGCTAGCACAGTTTCTCCAAGCATGAATTTGTGTAACACCTTCTTAGCTGCCAGTACATTTCTGCAGCCTCCCAAATAAACTGGTAGTCTCACGAATTTCACTGAACATCTGTTTCTGTTCTTCATCGCATATTTTTCTTCTCGGGCTTCTTTCCATTTGAGCCTATTATTGATTTTCTTTCTTTTATAAAACGTTTCTAAGCAGAGTTTTCTGCATGCTCCTCTGTTGTTTGCTTTTTAAATACCTTCACATATCGCTCTCGCTGGTTCGTCTGTGTGTTCAAGGACTCACCCTCTGTGTCTTTGTTGTCTCTCAGGACGAGGTCTTCCTCCTTTGAGTGAATACCTTCTGCCTCCTCATCCTCCTCTTGAATAGACTCAGACTTCCTTAAAGAAATCTGAGATTCCAACCGTGCTGACAGAAATAAAAACATCTTGATCTAAACAAATTAGGAAAAGCAACATCGATCCACCACCTGGGACCCAACAACACATCAGACACAGTCTCCATAATAGAAACGATATTATTGGCTGAACAAAAGGCCCACGCTGCCACCTAGTGTATGCAGCAGCTCACTCACTGTCTTCATCAGATCATTTCAATTTTTTCTGTTTAGCCTGTGTCAGGTTTTAGGTGCTGTTGAAACATTTCTCGCTGTCTCATGTTATAGAATGACACCAACATTAACATGTACAGTAAGGTCCTATCATCACTTGAATAACCCAATCAGGGTGGCTGGTATCCCTGAGCAACATACTGAGGCCACGCTGGTCTCTGATGCAGCCGAGTATGAATGTGTGTGAATGTTAGACAGAAAGCACTAAAACAAGAAGGACGTGCTGGTGTGAATGGGTGAAGTGAAGACAACGTACAAAAAATAAATAGTTATGCGAGTGACTGTCAGACGTTTGGCTGGATGCAACCCAACACATTCAGAACGCACTGGAGCAGCTTAGAGCACATTTAAGTTCGATATTAGCTCTAGTCTGAAAGGTTCCTGTTTATAGTTTCTTAT